CAAAGCTTCAAACGACGCGTCGACTATTAAATCAGTCGTCGACGATTTTGATAGTCGACTAATCGTGGCAGCCCTACTAGTAATGATATGAATAATGAGATCTTCCTTCTTCTCAGCAAAATTTGATTTTGGTCAAACAACATAAGACAGATGTGTCCTCGTGTGCTCTGCAGAGTTTGATGGGTTTTTAACACTATGACTGAGCAGCAAAGGGAACCTAAGTCATGGATTCATTTCACTTAAGTCCTCCACATCTCAAGAACAGCTTTATAACATACACACTAACTAAAAGGGACTGTCACCTGCAGGCTCTGTCACGAGGTGGATGCTGACACATACAAAGCTCCCAGTGAGTCTGGCATTTCTCTGGCCTGTTGTATCTGGTGGAGGATTAAAAAAAAAAAGGCTATAAAGAAAATGTTATTTCATGGGTTTCAGCTGTGTTTGAAAAAATCCCCTTATTCATCCATCCAGCCATCACCTGGAGTTGAAAGGTTTTGAAGATTAGTCATCCTCCTCTTCAGTTCAGGTTTTGAAAAGACATAAATGTGCAAAGAGGGAAACCACAAAATGCATTGTTTGCCTTTTCTGATTCATTCTTTGTGTTCTAGACATCCCAACGGGCCGTACAGAACCCTCACTGGCACCCGGCGGGCTAGACCCCGCTCTGTTTTTAATGTTAGGTTATTTAATGGCAATTTGGAGTCATTTATTAAGGTACTGATTGCCAGTCTCCCGCTTGACTGTTCACCTTCTCCTATCCGTTTTCTATTTCCCTCTGGCTTTCTGGTCATTTTGGTGGGTTCCCCCGTAAGCGTCTTAGCTTTGATCATCATTTATCAACAACAAAACATGAACATTTGCGCTAAGATGGATTCTGGAAACCTTCCTCATGAGTCAGCGAGCTCTGGCGGTCTGTTTCTCAGATGTGTGGGGTGGTGGCATTGATAGATTTGGAGGGCAGCAGGAGGAAGGGAACAGCAGTTGGAAGGATAAATGTTTGTCTCCATCAGCTCCCCTGACTCACTGCTGACCTGGCATCACTGAGCTGCTCTGGCGGGAGATATTCTCTCCTCCGCTTCCAGAGTAAGAGCAGAGGCCAGTGAAAACAGCAGGACAGATGGCAGTCGGGGAGCGGATGCCAAACTGATAAGGTGTGCTGCCCCCCCTCCTCCGGTCTCTTCACTGCCTCTCGCCGGTGGCCGTGTCGAGTCCTGCCCGATCCTGTCCAGTTCCTGCTGTTTTGTTATGGGTTTGATGCCAGCACAGAGTGGAATGTAACGCTCTCTTAGTAAAAGCTTTGGTGGGAAGCTGCTGAGGTGCTAATCTGGATCTTGCTTTTTTCCCCTTTTCCCATCTCTGATCATCTCCGACTCTTGCAACATTTCTCTTTAGCCGTGGACGACGGAACTCACACACTCGACATCAGGTAGAAACTCTGAGGCATGTTGGGGGGCTCGTGCTGCGAACCTTTTCTCATTTCCTGTATCTATTCTGTACTAACAAATTATTTACCTGCCACTTAGACAGACTGAGTTGAAGGTTACAGCTGCAGTTTCAGTTGTCTGTGCAAATTTATATTCCCTATAGATCAAAATCAGTCTCTCATATCCAAAGAGATCGCATTACATAATCTAGCAGCACCCCGGCTTCTGCCTCAACCCTCACTGCTGCACTCCAACCGTAGCTAGTCGATTTTAGTATGGCTGTTGTGTTTGGGCTCATTGAGGGCTGTAAACAGATCCACTGTATCATTAAAAGCATGTACCGAGTCCCGTCCAGCAGTGATTTACAAGAGGAGCCAGCACACATGCAGAAGGAGAGTTGAGTGCACATCCAAGTGCTCTTATCTTGCCATTTTAGGCCCGAACTTCATATGGAGTCTGTGCCCTTTTGGATAAGCTCTTGTTAATTTAAGCACAGCTCTTGATTGTTTGCATAAAAAAAGACATAAGGCATGTTTAAGCACATTTCAATAGGCGTCCGGTGTTGCTATTCCAGTTGGTTAGTGATTTTTGTAGACTTTGTGATAATCCACGACATCCATGAAACTGAGTTATTATGGGAGACTGAGCATGAGCAAAGGAATAGCTGTGAGGTCAAGTCAGTCTGTCTTAATAAGATCACACTTTGTATTTAAACTTACCAGCTTCACTTTCACTGGGTGTGCATGATTATATTCTTTTAACGGCTCCTATTGGGCCGCAATCAATACATCGAACCGGTCAGCAGTCTGCATGCACCAGATATGCATTAAGAAAACACAAAAGTGAGATGCGTGTTTTAATTGATCAGATTTTGGATAAATTACCTCCTTAAAATGTGATATAATCCTGATTATTACATATTTTTTACACAATTTTGATTTTATGTGTTAATGAAGAAAAACAAGGACATTATACACCAGTGATTTTTTATTTTTTTTGTAACAAATCACTGAAAGAAATGTAGTATTGGTTAGGCTCTTATACATGTAACAAAATGACGAATTACTCATCTGACTTTTCTTCAAAGGACTCTGGACAAGCTATTCCTCGTGTGGTTGAGAGTTGTATTCGCTACATAAATTTGTATGGTGAGTAGCGTACTGTCAGCCCTTACAGTGTTACAGTAGTTGCTGTATTTATACCTTCTTTGAGGTCTTCTTATAACCCAACCAACTTTATCTAGTGTGGGAGAAAGTAACACTTTCACAGGTGCAGATGTTGGAGTTTCAGTTTATTCCATGGAAATATGCAAATTCCGCCCTGTTTATCTTTATGCAGTCTCTTCTACTGAAATTCCCATACATATTGTGAAAGAGAAACCTCTCACTTGTATGACTGTTGAGTTTAACCTCCTAGGACCTGGTGTCCACATATGTGGACATCACATTTTGGGTTATTTAGACCAAAATACTACATTTTGCTCTACAAGGGCCTGATATCCACTTACAAGGACATTATACTGCTACTGTTCTATCAAAATTTTAAACAAATATCCTCATATGTGGCTATTATTTTTCTTAAAAACAAAAATAATTCTTTGTTTTTACATTCATCGGGCTCCAATATGCCAAAATATCAAAGAGAAATTAAAAATGCATGTCGTGGAAGAGTTCGGGTCTTAGGAGGTTAAATATCACTGACTAAAGCAGATTTATAATTCTAAGCATTGAAAGGTGTAACTGTAGATAACATCCTCTGCATCTTATCTGGCAACCAACTGATGACACTCAGAGATAAATCTAAAAAAATATTGCAGGCTAGTTACAGTAACTTAAGTGTCACAGGTGGATTAAAGCTCATAAGTTGGTCTTCTGCTTTTCTTTGCTTCCTCATCCTCTTTCTTGGTTTTGTTTTTTCCCTGTACAGGCCTCCAGCACCAAGGAATATTTCGTGTACCTGGATCTCAGCTGGAAGTCAACGACATCAAGAACTCATTTGAGAGAGGTACCGGGGGTTCTGGTTTCACTATAAGATGCTTGTCAACAGCTTGATCTCTACTATATTTGTTTCCAGTTTTATTTTTAATTCGGTATATGTCACCTAAAATGATGCAATAAAATAAATCCAACTTGACCTGCTCGCTTCTCTTTGTTTTAGGAAATGACCCTCTGGCAGACGATGAGAATAATCATGACATCAATTCGGTGGCTGGCGTTCTCAAACTGTACTTCCGCGGTCTGGAGAACCCTCTTTTCCCCAAAGAGAGGTTCAATGAGCTGCTGTCCTGCATCAGTAAGAACATATTTTTGTGTATTATCAGTCAGTCGCTTTTTATGAGTGATTGATTTTTTTTCTGTAACAAGTTTTATTTATTTACATACTTATTTTAAATACTTTGC